TCTTCAATCAGGAGAAATATTTTTACCTTTTGCCTCCCCTAAGGTAATTGCCTATTCGCAGATTCTGCAGTCTACAGTGTAATTTCAAAATATTAATAGCCAGTTATATTTTGTGCGTTTAGAATCATATCCAATGTTTTTTGGAGCAATTTACCGAGTTGGCTAGAAGCCTATTCCTTATTTTCCCTGCTTTTACTGTAAAGAAGCTTTTCCTGATGCCTTTTCTACGGGCACAAAGAGTGTTTGTTATTTTATTTGTTATTTGCAAGTAAACAACTTTGCACTGGGTTAATTATATAGAACGTTTATGGATTAGTATCCCCTTCTCATCGCTTCAAAGAGGAATACATTCAGTTCAGTTAATCTTTTCTCATAGCTGAAGTCCTCCTTGGCCAGTATTAATTGAGTTTCCATTCTCTGCACTCTCTTAAAGGGTTATTAAACTCTCAGGGGGTTGTGCATATATCTGCTGCTAGCAAGCAGTAGATATGGAAAAACATTTTTTTTTAAACTTTTCAAAAGGGTTTAAGCTTACCTGTGTCTCCACCGCGTGCTCCCATCTGAAGATTTCTCGGGTGGCCACAAAGTGTTTTGGGGTGAGTGCATGCGGAGATGAGGAGAGACACAAGGTAAGTCAATGCAGGCAGCCCAGCAGCGTGCATCCGCACAGACTCCGTGGGACAGGAAGACACAGGAGACAGCGCTGGATTAGAGACTGGCACTAGCGCTGGAGGGACTGATGATAACTACAGGAAAGAAGAAGATGGTTGGATCAAGAGGCATCATTTAAGGTAAGTACATACACCAGCATTGTGGGGGAGGGGACAACATTTTGACTATAATGTCCCTTTAAGTTCAACAGCATTCTCATGATGAACCTGTGCCTGAAATGTAACTGTGTTTAAGATGGGATTTTTTTGTATTCTTGTACATGCTTATGGGTTGATAGAGCCAGCTCATCATGGATATTGACCACCCAGAGACCTGCCTCTGCCCCCTTTTTCATTGCACATTTCATGTGCCCTCTCACACAACAAAATGTAATGAATATCCTGGCATAGAATGACTTTTATATTATGAAGTCATAAAGAGGAGCTCATGTAAAATATACTGTGTATACGTCATCGAGAGCATGGAAAATGCTTTCTTTTGTTTTGCTTATATTTTTTGGTATATATATTGCTATAAAGAGTCCTCTTCCCTAATCCAACAGGAAATTATCTGTTTATTAACTGCCTCCGGGCCGGCCGTAGTAAAAAAACGGCCGGCCAGGAGCTCTCTAGATCTGAGCGGGCGTCTCTAGACGTCCGCTCAGACACGCCCCCTTGCGCGCACCGCCGGGCGCGCGCGAGCGGGAAATGG